TGCTGAGAGCACCCGCTGGCCAGCCCTGGTACTGCAGCCCACAAGTAGGTGAGTCCCACCACCATTGGCGAGTCCATTCCTGATGGGTGTGGTCGCATAGTGAAGAGCTCTGCAATACTTCCAGAAGGCCTGAAAATCCGGGGGCGTGATTGTCCCAGCCAGCCCAGGAAGGATGTCTGCTCCTGGGCCTGGCGCTGCCGGAGGAAGGCCCCCTGAGGGACCTAGTACCGTCCCTGCTTTCCACCTATAGAGGACCTGGGAATGGCCCCCAAGAAGGGGGAAGGTCATGCGGAGTACAGAGACCGTTTGGTCACCCGGATTAAGACGGTGGAGAAGGAGGAGGCCGAATTGGCCAAACTAAGTCTGGAACTTAAAAAGCTGCGTTACAGTTATGACCGGGTGTGGAGCACCAAGAGACAGGCGATGATGCCTAGCCTGGAGGCCTTAGAGCAGAGAGGTCTCTCTGCAAACAAAGTATGTGGCGGCACTTAAAAAGAAAAGTGGAGCTCTGAAGGAGAAGTATGTTAATGACAGCCGCTTTAAAGCAGCAAGGAACAGGAGCGTTGTGGCAGCAAAAGGTCCCGTGGATATGGTCTCCTCTATGGAAGAGTCATCTAATGAAACGGTGACAGGAGGTGAGCCAGTGATGAAAGGTGAACCGGTGACCGGGGTGAGCCGGTGACTGGAGGTGAGCCGGTGCAGGGGCTGACTGAGCCCGCTACAGCTTCTTTGCAAATGGAGGCTGCTGATATCGGAGACGCCGTTGGCATGAGTGCTTCAGAGTCCCTCCCCCCGGGCAGCGTTGTGCGGATTGGGGATCGAGAGTGGAGGAGGCGGAGTCAGCAGGCGAATTGCACTTCATTCCGGAAGTGGAGCTGAGCCTGAAGAGCAGGAACTTCCAGTTTACATCAGAAGAATCCGGAAGTGAGGAGGAGGAGGAGACTATGTGGAATCCGCCTAAGCCGGTCCTGAAGGAGCGGGCGGTGTTTGTCCAACTGAAGCAGATCCAGAGTTCCCAGGGGAGTTCCGTCCCAGTGAAGGATGGTGTACCAGTAGTTGGGGACGTGGTGCAGGACTCTGGAAGTGTGGATAGCTTGGGGGCTAAGGACTCTGTCGGTGGTAAGAAGTCTGTGAGTGATTCTGTGGTGAAAGCTTCCCCAGCAGGGCAGGGGGCGGGAGGTTCAGCCCTTCAGTCCTGGGGGCTCCGCCCCTCTGAAGGTTGGGGCTACCATGGAGGGAGATGCTGCTGTGTCTGGTTCTCCTGCTGAGACTTTAGCTACATCGGTGCAGGTGCCTGCAGGTCAGGGGGTGCAGTCAGTATCGCCAGGTCCTCAAGTCCAGGTTCCTGCACAGTTGAGTTCTGGTGGGGATGGGCTGAATGCCCAAGTCCAGGTTTCTGGGGGTCCTGTGTCCCTAGGGTCCTCTACTGGCAGCCCTGTTTTATCTGGCCCTGTTCCATCGGGTCCTGGTGCCTCAGGCCCGGCCCTTCCTGGTTCAGCTTCCCTTGGGGCGGGTGCCCCTGCTCCCACTTTGCCGATCTGTTATTCGGCAGCACTAAGGGGTGGGCAGGGGTCCTTTCGACCAGCGGTGGCTTGGGCTGGTAACCTGCCAACTACCGCGGTTAGGAGGAACATGGTACAGTTTAAATGGTCAGGGGAGGGACACCCACTGAGCAGGAAGGAGGTGATTGACCGCGTGCTGGAGATGGGTAATAAACCTACTGACATCTTTGCCTTTATTGCCCCAGTAGGCACCGGGGAATATGATGTCTCCTTTGTAAGGCCAGAACAATTGGACCTGTTCTGGCAACGGTATGAATCCATATATGTCCGGAGTCCCAGGTGGGTGGGGTTGTCCCCCAAACTTATCTCACGACAAAATGTTATTAAGAGAGTCATGATCCTCGTGAGAAATGAGTCCATCCCGCCATCCGACATTGTAGTGTGGTTGTGGAGGTTTGGGGACGTTATGGGGGCCCTTAGCAAGGTGGTTGATGAGAGGGGGATCTGGACGGGAGGTTGGACAACCACTGTCCGCCTAAGAGTTGAAGGTAACGTGCTGCAGCACATTCCCTCATCCGCTTTCTTGGGAAGGGACAGGATTGTGGTGTTTTATGCTGGCCAGCCTCGGGTCTGTCACAGGTGTGGTGCAAAGGGGCACTTTGCGGCCACGTGCCCAGTCATAAGATGCTCCCTCTGCCAGGTGATCGGGCACCAGGCGAGGGACTGGAATATTGTGCAGTGCAACTTCTGTGGGTCCTTGGCCACACATATAGTCAGTGTCCGGAGGCACTCCGCAATCTCCCTGCGGCAGAAATTGCAGCTGAGCTAGATCGGATGGATGCCGAGGAGGCAGAGGTAGCAGCAGAGAGGGTCAAATTGGCTTCTGTAGTGGCCTCGGTGGGGGAGGGGGTGGCTTCTGTGGTCCTTCCTGTGGTGGTCCCCCCCTATGGTAGTCCCTTCTGTTGAGTCCCCTTCTGTTAGTACCCCAGTAGTCTTGCCTGTTGGGTCTGTCCCTCCTCCTGGTAAAGGGAAAGTTAGTGGAAGCTGCTAGAGGGGCTGGGTGGTGAGTACAGAGTCTGAACCATCAGTGTCTGCTCCCCCGGTCCTCCTCCATTTAAGGAGGGAAAAGAAGATCATTAGGGAGTCTCAAGGGTCCCAAGGCCTGTTCAGGGTGAGCAGGGTGCAGCAGTCCAGGGAGAGGAGGGGTGGTCGGTGGTGGGTAGGCGTAAACCAGTCCTCTCGTCTGCAGGGTCTGTCTCCTCTTTGGAGGTGGGAGACGTCACCCTTGATAATATGTTTGGGGCCCTGTCTGGGGAGGAGGGGGTGTCTGAGGATCCTATCTCCCCGATAGAGGATGAGGAGGCAGGGGGGGTCTCTTAAAAGGTCTGGAGACCCTTCTAAAAAGGTCAAGAAAAAGGTTAAGAAATGCCACTCTTAATTGTCTTAATGGCAGTTCCCGCTCCGTTAAAGGTGGCAACCATTAATGTTGCCAGCCTAAAATCTGTAAGTGCTAGAGAGTCAGCCATATTTTTGCTCAGTGGTATTGATGCTGATGTTTTCTTTTTGCAGGAGACCAGGTTGTCCAGCTTGGCTGATATCCATCTGGCCAAGCGGAAGTGGAGGCGTGGGCCTTCCTACTGGTCTCTGCGGCTGAGCCTTACAGTGGAGTTGCGGTACTTTTTACCGGTATGGTAACGTGCCGGCGGATCATTGAGGTGGAGATTGGACAATGTCTGATCCTAGATGTCCTTGTGATGGGGCAGGAACTGCGCTTGATTTATGGACCACAGTCCAAGTGGGACAGGAAATGCCTCTTCACAAAGATCAAGCCTTTCCTTTTTACGTCTCGGCTGGTGGTCTTTGGAGGTGATTTTAACACCATCACTAGGCCCAAGGACAGGAGGGGCTTCAATGACAGGCTGGGATATGATAGAGTTTTTCTGAATGCTATAGTCAAGCGGTTCTGGTGGACGCCTTGGTTAAGTGCAGCCCAGACAGCACGGGTTTCACGTTTAGGAGAGGTAATAGTCAGAGTAGGATAGACAGGTTTTTTTTGAAGGAGGACTCTGCCTTCTCAGCACCTGAGTGACGGGCGATGGAGTTCTCTGATCACCTTATGCTTACTGTGGCTTTGAATGTTTCAGACACACCACAGAGAGGGAAAGGCATCTAGAGACTGAATTAAGCTCTGCTGGAAGACGAGGAGGTGAGACAATCCTTCAGGGAGTTCTTTCAGGCCCAGGAGACCGTGCTGGATTTTTGCAACAGTAAGTCGGAGTGGTGGGAGCTTACCAAGGTGCGGATTGGCAGGTTTTTCAAGGCCATAGGTAAGAAGAAGCAATTTAATAAGTATATCACCTACCAACGGTTGAGGAGGAAGCTCGACTGCCTTGTTTCTAGCGGTGGAGATTCTGGGGCAATCTTGGAGGTTAAGCTCCTCCTCAGGGAGTACCAGTATGATCGGCGTGCCTCTTTGGTTCTGGAGAGGGATTATGGGAAGTACCACTCGCCCGACCCTTTCCAGAATTGCAAACAGGGTGCAGCGATTAAGATGGTCTCTGCCCTAAGGGATGGTACAGGGTCCCTGACGAGATCCAGGTCTGGGATTCTGGAAGTCTCTAGGTCCTTTTATGCGGACTTACTGAGTGAGAAGTGCCTCGACCGGACAAGGATGTCGAGTTTTTGGAGTCTACACCGGGCCTGGAGGGTAATATCTCGCCTACAGGTTTGACTGGAGAAATTACTGTAGAAGAGGTGGTCAAAGCTATTGACAGTCTGACCATTAAAAAGACTCCTGGGCCAAATGGATTGACGGCTGAGTTTAAGACCTTTAAGTCCAGCTTGGCGCCTCGTCTTGCGGAGGTTTATAACTGCTGTCTGAGTGAGGGATCTCTCCCACTCTCGATGAGACAGTCTGTGGTGATTCTCCTGTCAAAGGGTAAGGATCCTTCGGCTATTGAGAACTGGTGCCCCATTAGCCTGCTCAATGTCGATAGAAAGGTTCTGGCCAAGATCTTGTTCTGGCGCTTGTCGTCAGTGGCAGATGGTTTGCTTTCTCGCCAGCAGCATTGCTCGGTCCAGGGCAGGGGTACCTTCACAGTGGTGTTAGCTGTCCGGGAGGCTCTGGAGCGATGTAAGGCTGAGGGATGGGGAAAGTTTCTGCTGGCAGTGGACCAGGCAAAGGCCTTTGACCGTGTTGATCACGAGTACCTCTGGCGTCTCCTGGACCGGTACAGTTTGGAGGGGAGGTTCATTGGCTGGCTAAAGACGTTGTACAAGGAGGCTGAGAGCTTCATGTTGGTGAATGGTTGGGTTGGGCGGCCCTTTGAGTTTGGATCGGGGGTGCGCCAGGGATGCCCGCTGAGCCCTCTGCTCTACGCTTTCGCTATCGACCCCTTCCTTAGGAGGCTAGATGGTGGGGCGTTGGGTGGGGTGCCAGTGGGTGCTACTGGAGATCCACCTGTGAGGGTCGTAGCCTACGCTGACGATGTTTCTGTTTTCATCTCCGGGACCGGGGAAGCGCGCAGGAGGTGGTCTCAGTGATGGAGCAGTATGCAGAGGCGTCTGGTTCCAAGGTCAATCAAGACAAATGTGAAGTTCTCTGGACGGGTAGGGAAGGTGCGAGCTTCTCACTTCCGGACACCTTCCCAGTGCCTCAGCAAAATGTGAAAATTTTAGGCATCAATTTCGGCCCGGGCTGATTACGGCAAGTTAAATTGGGAGGCCAAACTGTCTGATGCTGAGGTCAAGGTGAGATGCTGGAAGGGGTGGCAGCTCTCCTTAAGGGAAAGGGTTGACCTGATCAAGACTTTACTGGTCCCTGCGTTTTTGTATATCAGTTTTGTCTGCCTCTTGCCAGAGTCGCTCTATGCAAGGATTTACAGCTGTTTCTTCCAGATGTTATGGGGGAACAGGCTGAACCTTGGCAGGCGAGATGTAACTTACTTATCCAGGCGGGGGAGTGGCCTAGGTATGGTCAACCCGATAGTGTTTTTCTCTCTGATGTTCTTCAAACATAATCTTGGTAATGTGCTGGCAGAGAGACCGCCTGCATGGGTAGGGCTGTTCCAGATCTGGTTTAGGCCCTTTTTGAGCAGTTGGGAGAGTGGTGGGCCAGTGAGAAGCCTGCGGGTCAAGCATGGTAAGCTCCCGGCTTATGTGGCCCTGTGCCTGAAGTTGCTTCGGCGGTGGCATGTGACGGCGGAGGAGGTCAGATCCCTCCGTAGGAAACTCCTGGGTGAGAGGATTGTGGCAACTGCTTTCCATGCGCCGTTGGCCTTGAAGGATTGCCCAGGCCATATTATGAGGGAGGGTTTGCGTTTAATAAATCTGGAGCGGATTCCCTTGAAGTTTAGGGACCTGGCCTGGCTCGCCTTCCATGGCAGGCTCTACGTGAGGGGTAACTTGAAGTACCGTCCTCTGGATGACCGTGGTTGTCTGAGGTCAGAGTGTCGGGGTGAAGTGGAAACTATGGACCACTTTCTGCTTCAGTGCCCCTTTAACGTGGAGGTATATAAAGAGGTGGGTGGGGCTCTGGGTGTCTCCTTTCTACACTGCATGTCTTATGCAGAGTGGGTGTATGGAGCATTTGAAAGCCGCCAGGGTTTTGATTTGGACACCTTGTTTCTAGTCAGCGTAGTGGTCCAATACTACACTTGGAATGCATGGTGTCAGGTTTCCATTTGGCAAAAAGTCCTCCCCGTCCAGGTGGTGGTGCGTGACATCCTTGGCGAGGTAGGGAAAAGTCGGGGTCTTGAGAAAGGCAGGCGGCGGCGAAAGACCTGGATGGAGGCGTGGAGGAACATCAGGCCTGTAGCTGCTATCTGCTGATCTCGGGTGGTGGCATCTGTCCCTAGTTTCCTTCTTTTCACTCCCCTAGATTTTGCTGGTATGGATTCTTTTGAAGAGAGGCTGCAAAAGCTGAAGGTCTAAGTTTCTTAGTCCTTTTTTTTGAGTATGTAAGTGTTTGTTTGTTCTGTTAAGTATAGTATGTCTCAGCCTTAGAGGCTGTCTGAAGCAGTAGTATGGAAATTGAGGGTGTAACTTTAACTTTTGGCTATAAAAGTCTCTTATATGCATAAGTTTCTATTTGGGTGCTCTGTATGCCTGGAGCATCCTGTTGGTTGCTTCTTCTCGGCCAAAATGGCCATGAAATATTGCTGTTTTTTCTTTTCCAGAGTATGGACTCTTTTGGTTTCTGAGACATAAAGGCTATGTGGACTTTTATGTTGAGTTCTTTTCCAGGGACTTCTGGACTCTCTTGTTTTTTAATCAAGTTGATGTTTATATTTATTTATTTATTTATTTGTATTTTTATAGAAAAACATTTTTGGTTTGCTGGTATGTATGACCTCAAACTTAAAATAAAATATTTCCATTCCTGACAGTACCCCCCCTCAAGGAGCTGCCTCAGGACGCTCCAAACAGTCCGTACTGGCACAAATGTTCCACCGCCTGGGTCCAGTAACTGGCTGGACATCCCACTGCCGGAATCAAGCGACTGGCTGGGTCTCCTGCTGATAGGCCTATCTTTTTGCAGGAGACCGCAGGAAGGCAGGTTGCTGGACACAGGATTTCCAGAAGCAGGCTGGGCATCTGGAGCTGGCACGTCAGGCTGGGCAGTGGACAGAGGCACGTCAGGCTGGGCAGCGGACAGAGGCACGTAAGGCTGGGCAGCGGGCACCGGCACGTCAGGCTGGGCAGCGGGCACCGGGACATCAGGCTGGGCAGCGGGCACCGGCATGTCAGGCTGGGCAGCAGGCACCGGCAAGTCAGGCTGGGCAGCGGGCACCGGGTCATCAGGCTGGGCAGCAGGCACCGGGTCACCAGGCTGGGCAGCGGGCACCGGGACATCAGGCTGGGCAGCGGGTCCTCTGGCTCGACAGCGGGCCATCTGGCATGACAGCGGGCACCGAGTCATCTGGCACGACAGCGGGCACCGGGTCATCTGGCACGACAGCGGGCACCGGGTCATCTGGCACGACAGCGGGCACCGAGTCACCTGGCACGACAACGGGCACCGAGTCACCTGGCACGATAGCGGGCACCGAGTCATCTGGCACGACAGCGGGCACCGAGTCATCTGGCAGAACAGCGGGCACCGAGTCATCTGGCAGAACAGCAGGCATCGAGTCACCAAGCTCGACAGCGGGCACCGAGTCATCTGGCACGACAGCGGGCACTGAGTCATCTGGCACGACAGCGGGCACCGAGTCATCTGGCAGAATATCAGGCATCGAGTCATCTGGCAGAACAGCGGGCACCGGGTCACCAAGCTAGACAGCGGGCTCCGAGTCATCTGGCACGTCAGCGGGCACCAAGTCACCAAGCTCGACAGCGGGCACCGAGTCATCTGGGACGACAGCGGGCACCGAGTCATCTGGCACGACAGCGGGCTCAGGGGCATGAGGCTGGACCATGGGCACCAGGGCACCAGGCTGGACCATGGGCACCGGGGCGCCAAGCTGGACCACGGGCACCGGGTCATCAGGCTGGATTGGGTCATCAGGCTGGATCACGAACACCGGGTCATCAGGCTGGATCAGGTCATCATGCTGGGTTGGATCATCAGGCTGGGTAGGATCATCAGGCTGGGTAACAGAAGGTGGTTTCTCAGATGGCAGGCTGACCGATTTGGATACTGGCAAGATGGTACTGGTTGGAAAGAATTTTTGCTTCTTCTTAGGTTTAGTTACTGAAGCACTGTAAGTAAATGCAGGTCTGTAAACGGATGGAGCAGATGAAGACAGAGAAGAGCTGGAGGATGGAACAGAAGAGGGAGCAGTTGCTACAGAGGACTTCTTTACAGGGTTAAAGGCAGGATAGGTGCAGCGAGTGGGAACAGGGTACTGGCATGTGGTTGATGGCAGAGTATACTGGGCTGGAACTGGAGGTGCTGTCGGGAATGAAGGAATAGAGCTTTGAAAAAATAGATTAGAAGCAGGACTGGGTTTTGGCAAGCTTACTGAGGCTGGGTGTAACAAATCTGACCATGTATGTAATACTGGTTGAACAAAGCTTAGCTTACACGTAGCCTGTCTGACCAAAGACTGCACTGCGTTTATGCAATCCACAAGCACATGTGATGGACAAGCTGCATAATGCTCAAGGAAGCAATCTGGATCATCCTCCAACAACCATACCAGTGATTCCACTTGATCTGCATTAAATGGTGGAAAAAAGTCATCCCTACTTTCAGGGGTGCAGGACAGAGCCAACTCAGCACAAACCTGGATCAATGGCTGCACCTCAGAAAACTCCGTGCCCTGATCTACTAGTGAATGAGCAACTTGTATGCATTCTAGCAGCTGATCCCTGGCATACTCCTTCAGAATCTGATTGCCATAGTCTCTGTCTTCTAAGACTAACAGCGACAAGTACACAACCTCCTCAGGATGCATCCTTCACAACAACAAGCCAAAATGACTTCCCTGTGCAGCCACTTCTGGTCAGGATTGGTCTTGGTGTAATGTCAGGGCTCCAGGTATGACCAGAGGTTTGTGGGCTAACACAGGGAAATGCAGGCTCAAGTATGGTGTAAACAATATAATTTATTAGAGGCTAAACAAAAATATAAACGCACAATATAAACAAAACCAAACCTCCAACTGATAACGGAAAGTACAAGCACACAGACAAGAGTAGTCAGGGCTGGTGAGGTGGAGTGGTCCGGCAGGCCGGGTCAGGAACCATCGGGCAGACAAGGTACAAAGGAGCAGGCAGAAGAGTGGTCAGGAATAGCCCAGGTCGGTGCAGGCAGAGGGATCAGGAAGGCAGGCAGACGACAGGATCAGGTTCAGGCACAGGGGCTCATGGGAACAATACACCAAGGCACTGATTGCAGGCCTGGTCCTGCTTAAATACACCTCCTGAAATCAGCCTCAGGTGATGGCTTGACTGCAGGAGTGAGATTCTGGCTGCTGAGAGCACCTGCTGGCCAGCACTGGTACTGCAGCCCACAAGGCAGGTGAGTCCCACCACCAGTGGCGAGTCCATTCCTGACATACGGTCACTGTTCTTTTATATGGACATTAGTATGTTCATATAAAATGTTCCAGATGTTTTTTTTATATGGACATTAGTAATAAGCTCTGCATGGTTTGAGATTACCAGGTCCAGCAGAGCATCATTCCTAGTTGGGGCCTCTATAAACTACCATAAAATTGTCCTGTAGTAGGTTTATAAATTTTTGCCCTTTAACTGTTGCTGCAGTACCATTACTCCAGTCAATTTCCGGGTCTTTAGAATCCCCTATTATTATAACTGTCCCAGCCCTTGCAGCCCTTTCGATCTGTGCAAGGAGCTGAGAATCCACCTCTTCATTAACACTGGGTGGCCTATAACAAACTCTGATGATTACCTTTGTAGTACGCACCCTCATGTGCAGTTCCACTCATAATGCTTCGACCTCATCACACTCTCCATCAACTAGGTCCTCTTTCACACTCGCTCTGAGATCACTTCTCACATAGAGACAGACATCACCACCTTTCCTTTTGTTTTGGATGTGGTCACTTACAGACCATCTACCGTGATCTACCAGTGGGCCTAATTAATGCAGAAATGCGTGCACGCAGAAGTAAGACACTGACACTGTTTGCAGTTTGTCAACTTCCCAATTCCTCTTTATTGAGGAACTCAGTATAACATTTATAGGTCTTATAACGTAAGCAAAGGATATGCGATAATTGGTTGAGAAGTCCCCTAAGTTTCCTGTGTGTTCTTCCATCCGTATTGAGATCTTCCAATCATCGTTGAAAAAATGTGACTAATTCCCTTTTATGGGGTGGTTTACGTCAAAAGGTGCTTTTTCTTCTAATGAGTCATCTCGGGCGAGACTCTGGATGAAGGCGCCATCTTAATTATTATCGTTCTGTTAACCTATATCTGATTGCCTACTTAAGAGTGTAAGGAATTTAAAGAGCAAGAGGCATAGAGAAGCAAGGCTATAAAATTGTCATTTTACTGTCTGTCTGACAGATCACAAACTGTTCACCACAATCCATTACAATCCCCCCTTAAAATGGCTATTTTTATTAAACTGTCCCTGTGTTTTCCTGATGTCCTAGCTGTCTGGCGGCCCCCCCTTGGAACTCTTTTAGGTTGCAAATAGAGCTCCTGGGTGGCTAGTCCATCCCCAGAATCTCAATGCGCACTGAGAGGGCCACAATCAGACACTGTCTTTCCCTGTCAGTTGCTGTCTGATAGAAGGGGGGAAGGGAGAAGGATTTGTGACGCTTATTACTGATCGGGAGACACAGTTTGTAAGGGAGTGTAAAATTCCCCTCCTTCTCGGGGAAGTTCGACATCATCATAGTTCATAAAGGTGGGAGAGACCTCGTCCACGGTCTTCCCAATTAATTTCTTAATGCAAGGGACCACACGACAGGCAACTATTGCCATTAGAATGATTATACCCAGGATAATCACCCCTACCTGGGCTAGGGCCTTCTGCCAGCCACACAGCCACCCAAACCACTGATCCCAGGGATATGTAATGCCTGAGTTTGCCTTGAGCTCATTCGACAGGTCTTCTAGCTTTTTGATAGCCAGAGTTATTTTCCCATTTGGGTCTGTATTGTCTGGTATATATGTACAGCAAGACATGGTCTTAGGTATCATTTTGCAAACCCCTCTCTTTTCAGCTAGCATCATGTCAAGTGTCATACGATTTTGGAACGCCATGGTGGAGGTAGCCTCCAGTTGTTCTGCTACTCCCTTCAGGGCGTCCCATGTATAATTCACAAAGCGCTGCTGATTATAATAAATGTAGTTTATCCAGTCCACATTCTTGTTTACGGTAATGATGAGGATCAGGGATTCAAACCCTGCGGCCACTTGATCTCTGGCTTTAAATTCATCTGGCACCCCCCTCTGGACTCCTATTGCATCTATGTAGATGTGGGGGTCAAAGCTCCCTTCTGGGGCATTCCGTTTCTTTCTCTTTGTCATAAGGGGATTGGACACCTCTTTGGGCATTGGATCTGAGAGGATATGCAGTGGCATTATGGCCTTGGCAAGGGTGCATTCCCCCTTCCATTCCCCTGCCAGCCGGGTTCTAATCTTCTGGTCCCCACAGATCCAGAATATATCTCCCAGGGACATGACCTGATTCTGGGTTAAATTTGACTGGGCTGTACTATAAACAGCACAGAATCCCTCTGTGAAATTCCCCAGGGATCTTCCTTTTCCCTCATAATTGGCATAGCAGGTATAATTATCTGGATATATGGTTAAACCATCTGGGGGCTTTGTGTCTCCCCGGACTAGAGGGTAACGTCTCTTCCAGTCCTCACATATGGATTGGCTCGTGGTGGTGTTAGTATACAGACTTAAGACACAGTCCTCTATTGAGTCTGGTAGGCCTAGTGGTACCGTCCCCAGATGTGGTCTGGCATGTCCACACACATAGCAATTAGATTTATTGTGGGAAATTGCGTTATATTTCATCGATTCACAGGTTGGCATCTGAGAGGCCAGTTTCTACTGCTATGGTGTCTTCAAATGTGGGGTTTGCTATTGCTACCATGTCCTTCAAGGTGTTGAGAAGTGGCATAAGTGGGTTTGGTGGGGGGGCTGGGTCCTTGAGATGCTCCTACCGGTTTGACCCATACATATCCCTTATCCAAAATTTTCCAATTGGTCCCTGAGTGCTGCTCCCAGCCATCCATTTTCCTAACACATAGAGTCCCTCATTCCCTGGGCTGGGGTTTTCTATGGGAAGAGTGAGTTGCATATTCCTCCCTGTCGGTCCAGCCACTGCACACGTGCCTGTTTTAAGTAGGGTCAACCTGTCAATTATGCTCTTACCATTCTTATCTTTATGGTTTAGGGCACTTTGTGGTCGGTATCCCCAATCAAGGACCGTGTTCCATCCCACCGATCCCCAGTATGCGCAGTCAGCTCCCCAATAATCATCCGTAACACACACACATATATATATTTATATATATATATATATACTCCTGGAGTTTGGTGCATTTTGATATATGTTACACTGTCCAACTGGTAACGGGCAGGACACTATACCACAGTAGTCAAAGGTGAAAGTGGCCACGTGAGTGTTGGAAGAATTGTACCAGAAAGTTATTAGACCACTTTGGTCGGGCGTCCCACCCTCCCTTGTGATTGCCATCCTTTGTGCCATTCCCATCCCCCAGAGTATATACAAAAGGATATATGTATATGCAATCATGCTCCTAGTTATCTTCAGGTGGCTCGGCCTTCTTGCAGTGGGAGGCGTGAATCAAAGGACTCTTTCCTTCCAGTTTCACCGAGGTAGCAGTCACCAGGAGTACCTGGAAGGGACCATCATATCTGGGTTCCAATGAATGTTTTTGCAGAAACTTTTTAACCAAGACCCAGTCTCCGGGTTGCAAAGTGTGTGTTCCAGTGTCTGTCTCGGGATCTGGAATGGAGGAAAAAACTTGTGCATGCATATTAGTCAACACATGTGCTAAAGATATTACATACTTTGTCAATGTATCAGACTGCAATTGTAATTGTTGGGGATAGTAGGTTCCCAGTCTAGGGGCGGACCCAAACAAAATCTCATAGGGAGACAACCCATGATTCCCCCTTGGTGTGTATCTAACACTGAAAAGAGCAATGGGCAAGCTATCTG